TTGTGGTATGATCCCGTGTGTTCAGTCTCAGTCTACTTCCAGAATAGTTAGCACTTCTCAGCAGCACAGCACTAACTGCATAATCGACACTATTTCTTTTCTTTCCTTGCAGTAGTGGAGATAAACCCAAGGGCTTCTGCACTCTACTGCTGAGTTTTATAGCCAGCCCCAAAGAATTCCTTTTTTTTTTTTTTTTAAAGAATTGGACAGCAGGTCTGAGGAAGGACCCAGGGATCTGCATTTTATTTATTTGTTTTTATCTTTTTGTAGTTGTAGATGAACAGCATGCCTTTATTTTGTTTGTTTATATGTGATGCTAAGGATCAAACCCACTGCAGCACTCATGATAGGCAAGTGTTCTGCCACTGAGCTACAGCCCCAGCCCAAGAATTCCATTTTAAAAACTCCATCTGGATCTCCTTTAGCTCTTTAGTTGTAACATCATCTCTTCTCTACCTCTATCTACATTTCTCAAACTAGTCCGATTCGATTTCTGTCACAACTGAACCACCAAAAGGTTTGCAATGTCCATCTCCTTATAAAAAAATGGACATTTTATTTCTAGGCAATGTTCAATAAATGGGACAATTTCTTTCTTAAAGTGATTCTAGTCACCATATACCACATTCTCCAGGTGTTCTTCTACGTGAGACTTTTTTTTTTTTRAATGTTTGAGGGGATAATGGGGATACTAGGGATTGAACCCAAGGGTACTCTATGACTTAGCAACATCACCAGCCCTTCTTATTTTACTTTGAGACAGGGTCTTGCTAAACTGCCTGTGCTGGACTTGAATTTGCAATCTTCCTGCCTCGAACTGTCCCAAGTATGGGAATTACAGGTGTGCACCATGGCACTCAGCCTGAGTCTTTTTCATTTCTTTTGCATGCTCAGTCTCCTCCATAATAGACCTTAACTGTTAGCTGCCTCAAAGCCACCCTTTTTGTCAATGCATATTTTGTAGGAAGGCAATCTCAACCAAGCTTTGCCATGCCTCCAACCAACAGGAACAATTCTTCAGAGTTACAGATGTTCTATCATTCAATGCTGAAGTTAAAAACTTGGGAAATATCCTGAAATATAGAAACATGAGAACTAGAAACCTTGAGACTTCATGCTCCTTCACTCCCCATTATTCAATCTATTACAAAGATAAATTTTATCTCCTAAATAATCCTTTGCCATTCAAAMCTTCCCACCTCCCATAATCACTGTAATGACTAATGCTTTCAACTGTCCCTCTTATTTATATCCCTTCCAATTCATTTTCCACATTGCAGTCAGAGTGAACTTTAAAAAGCACAGACTAGATGTCAACCCATGCTCATAGCCCTGTGTGGTATCCCATTCTTCTTAAATTATGTAATGTTTGAAAGCTCTACAAGCACTGCATGTTGGGCTTCTACCCTCATATATTGCCACGGTTCATTACTTTGTGGGCTGCAGATCTCTCAGGGCCACAGATTATATTATATTCTGTTCCTCCTCTATACACTAGTTAAATCTTACTCGTTTGAGTCTCAGATCAAAGATATCATTACTGTGCTTGCCTAGCATAAGCAAGGTATGAGATTCAATCTTAACACCAAAAGACACACAAAAAAAGATGTTACTAGCAAAACTACCTTAGAATACTTCCAGACCAAGAGTCCAGATTAAGTGCCCCTGCTGTATCATTGATTACACACCAAAATTATTCCTTGGACACAATTCTCAGTTAAGTATTATATATTTTATTATTATCAAGTGCCTTGTTCCTTTTATAATGGACTCTAATTTCCCATGAGGGCAATCAGGATTGATGTGTTTCACCAATTACTGGATCCTAGCACCTAGCACAGCATTCATCCAATACCATATAAATAAATAGCATGGACTGAACTAGTATGTATAAAGTATACTGGGAATGAGGGAAGACAAGAACAATACAATAAATAAGAAACGACAAGGAGGTTAGAAGAAAAGGAGAACTGAAAGAATTTTCTATTAGTAGAAATGAAATGTCCAAACAGGCGAAAGAATTTTGTTTATTTGCAGATCAAACCCACAACCTCATGCATACTAGGCAGGCAAGCACTCTACTGATCCAGCCCCAAGATCAGTTTTTAAAGCACTGAACTTTATAACGGTCTTTGGGGAAATKAACTTTATAACGGTCTTTGGGGAAACTCAATATTCAGTATTCAAAATATAAGAGTGGGGAGTGTGACTGTATTATAGCTTAACATGTGTAGGGCTTTTTTTAAGACTTTGTTTTGATCCTCAATGCACTCAAAAAAAATTTTTTTTTCAACTTAAAAACCAAATTCAGCAATCTTACCTTGGATAATGTGTATACATGAGTATATGAATTGTCTTTGTAACAATATAAAGTCTTTAATTTAATTATATTTGTAAAAATAACCTGAACATAATCAAGAGGGAATTAGTCAAAGTATAACATATTCAGAAAGTAGAAAACTATCCAGCTGTAAAAAAGAATGAGGAATTTCTAATGCACTAAAATGGAAAAATCTTTAAGAAATTAGAAAAGCAAGTTACAAAATAAACATGCAACATGCAACTTTTATGTTAAAATAAAAAGGGGAAGGAGAAGAAAGTGTATAATTGAATTTACATTAAAACAAACTGGGAAAAGGTAGACTACTAGTAACTGGTTACCCATACAAAGAAAGAATGGGGTACATCACAGCAAAGGAGAAAATGAGTTGTGTTTTGTTTTCTTTTGTTTTAACATAACACCTATTCAAAAGCTGAATTTTAGGTGGGCACAGTGATGCACTCCTATAATCCCAAAGACTTGGGGAGTCTGAGGCAGGAGGATTACATGTTCAAAACCAGCCTCAGCAACTTACTGAGGATATAAGCAACATAGCAAGACACTGTTACCAAAATAAAAAATTAATTAATTAACCGAAGTTCATTTTTTTAAACTTCTTTAGTTGTGTATGGACTCAATGCCTTTATTTGTTTTTATGTGGTACTAGGATCGAACCTACCACCTCACACTTGTGAGGCAAGTGCTCTACCACCGAGCTACAACTCCATCCCCCTAAGTTCATATTTTTAAAAATTTTTAGTTGTTGATGAATCTTTATTTTATTTATTTACATGTGGTGCTGATAATCTAACCCAATGCCACACACATGCTAGGCAAAAGCTCTACCACTGAGCTACAACCTCAACCCCTAAATTCATATATTAAAAACAATAAAATCGGGGCTGGGTTTGTAGAATGCTTGCCTAGCATGTGTGAGGCACTGGGTTTGATCCTCAGCACCACAAAAATAAATAAATAAA